TATATATATAATAATAATAATATATATATATATATATATATATATGTATATATATATTTATATATATCCATATATACTGCTCCTTTTTAGTATTGTTGAAACCCTGTATGGAGGATAAACGTTTACCAAGTACATGCAATGCTCGTGTTTGCAAAGCGCAGTAGTATGCACGATCCTAGTTCAAGTCTGCTACCGACTTGGTTGAGCATACGCAGGTGAATCCACTAAATTTATAGAAGAGTCATCAAAATGTGTGATCGCAAGCGTAAAGGACATGAGCGATTTTTTTTAGCCTGCTTCAGATTGCCACGAGACTTCAAAGTTTTCTCCGAAGGCTTACGGCCACTATTATTACGTGCGCCTCCGTGACTACTCATTGAAACGGCCGATCCCACTGCTGAGAAATAATATACACACGATTGAGACACACACAGATATATTTATTTATAAATACGATTGAGACACACACAGATATATTTATTTATAAATACGATTGAGACACACACAGATATATTTATTTATAAATAAAAAGTAAATATTGTCGTTTGCAGCCATGTTTGTCAACAGAACCCCCGCCAAAACGGCGCCTGTGGCGCCTTTGCTTCTGACTTCACCGTCCGGCATCCGGCCATAATATCGGTTTACTCATCCGTATCAACGTTTATATTCGACCACACGGCATATTTACGATCAACTATTGAAGTGGGCCCTTTTATTTAACGGATTGAGGCTAGCCTGTACCTACAAATAGAACGCATATCTAAAAATAGAATTCCCGCTTTGCAGTGAACACAGTGACGGTGGGTTGGGATTTGGGTATTGGGAAATTGGGAATGGCTGAATGGGAACTTGAGTTGGGGTCCACATGACCAAATAATCGATTACACATTTTTTCGTATTTAGAACAATGTACGGACGCAATGCTGTTTCTCTCACGACAGTCTAACTTTGTAAGTTCTCTGGCGTAGCAGTAATACACGGTGTTTCGACTCTGTAGAGGTCACCGCTGATAACGCACTTACACATAATATAGCCTTTCAAATATTGGTCGTATGCTCTATTGCTGATGAAAGTAGTATACCTTGTGCAATTGCTCGTTTAAATGTCCACGGCGTGCGCTCAATTTGCAATTGAAACGGAAGGCATCTGATAATGTTTTTAAAAATTACAGGCTTGTATATCGGCTTATGTTGCAATTTTATTCCTATGAGCTTGGTGCTGAATAATTTTCGATATACTTCGTCCGCTCATAAGTTCTATATATTTCCACACCCACAGATTAATCCTTAAACGTCAGACCCTCGCACACACAAGATGTCGAATGCGAAGGTGGAAAGAAAGGCTGCGTACTTTGAACGCCTTTTGAGTTACTTCGATAAGTACTCAAAATGCTTCATCGTAGGTGTCGACAATGTCGGCTCCAACCAGATGCAGCAGATCCGTAAGTCTCTGCGCGGTAAAGGTGAGGTCCTTATGGGCAAGAATACCCTTATCCGTAAGGCTCTCCGCGGTGCTATGGCCGAGAACCCCAACTTCCACAAGCTGCTTTCTGTAGTTAAGAACAACGTCGGTTTTGTTTTCACCAACGATGACCTTTGTGAGGTTCGTGATCTTATCACATCTTTCAAGGTTGCCGCCCCCGCCAAGACCGGAGCGATCGCCCCCATTGATGTGCACATCCCTGCCGGTTCCACCGGAATGGACCCAGGAAAGATCTCTTTCTTCCAGGCTCTTAACATCACCACCAAGATCCAGAAGGGTGCCATCGAAATCGTGAACCCCGTTCACTTGATCAAGGAGGACACTCGTGTCGATGCGTCTGCGGCTGTTCTTTTGAATATGTTGAAGATCTCGCCGTTCAGTTACGGTCTTAAGGTCTTCCACGTATTCGAGGGAGGTTCCCTATACGATCCCGAGGTCCTTGACATCAAGGAGGATGATCTTCTTAAAGAGTTCTCTGCTGCCGTCGCCAACGTCGCATCCATCTCTCTTGCTATTGGATACCCCACCGTGGCTGCCATCCCCCACATGTTCATCAACTCGTACAAGAACGTGCTTGCCATTGCGTGCGAGACCGATATCACCTTCCCTCTCGCTGAGAAGGCTAAGGAGTTCCTTGCTGACCCTGAGGCTGCTTTGGCTGCTATGGCTGCTAACGCACCTGCTGCGCCTGCCGGTGGTGACGCTGCTGCACCTGCGGCCGCTGCGGCCGCCCCCGAGCCTGAGGAGGAGTCCGAGGAAGAGGACATGGGTTTCGGTATGTCGATATTGCTCTATAAGCAAAAGCTTTTTCGTTTGTAATGTTTAGTTGGTCAGAGGCATGGTTTTTGGCACGGACAAATAGGTTGTAATATCTAGTTAGGGTAAAGCATGGGGATTGTTTGCAAGGTTGCAGTGTTTTGTGGATAGGTATATGGTTTGTCTGGTGAATGCAAGTCTAATGTCTTTACAATGGACTTTGGTTTGATTTGAGGCAGTGATGCTTTTGTGCCTTATGAATCAATGTATTCATTGTAGATGTGACTGGATATGTCTTCAATTTTGACCTGGACCCCAGAAATGTATAGTATTTAGTATTGCTGTTAGTGTAGTTTCTGCCACTGTTACTTTCTTTTTTGGCCGGATATCAATCAGGAAGTATTGGCTGAGATGTTTAGTATTGCTTGCTAACATTTAAATCACCCATTTTGTGTGTCGCAGGACTTTTCGACTAAACTGTTGATCAACGTGGCCTCTTGTTAACTCGAGAGTTGGAAAAGTGCTTCCGTTCGATCTGCAATGCGGTTTGAATCGGATTTGAATGTAGGTTTGTGTCACTTTCGCTTCGGAAGTTAGGTATAATAAAGCTTCTTGTCCGTTTATGCGTTGTTTTTATAAATTCAAGACTTGTCGGTGTTTGGGTGTATGTATGAGAAAGAGTTTGAGTGTAGTACTTGTCATTTAACAGTCTTGTGTATTACTTCTATAGTACATCGAGAAGTAGTCAATATACAAATTGCGTTAGGTGTGGGTGTTCGTTCGTCTGCGAGTGCATAAAACATAACGCAGCTACCTATTATGTAAGTCGGGTTCTATCTGGCTTAACACAAGAAAGTATGCGGACAACAACGGGTCACTGGTTACAATTGTAGGGGTTCACTGTGGCATTTATGTCACACCTGTTACATCATGGCACGGAGACCTAAATTTCTGTTATTGTCTTAAAGTTGTGGGGATATATATACATCCTGTATGTTTCTACATCTCTTACGGTTCAAATTCGCGATGGATTGGTTCGTCGGTCATTATTTCACAAGAACAGTTTATAAAATAAAAGCTTAGATCACGAGAGATAAGAATGTATTTTATTATTATTAAAAAATGATAAGCTTGTTACTATTTGCCTTCAATCAATGGACAATATTGTCGATCTGCGTTCACGCTGTGTATTTGACGCAATATTGGCACGTCAACAGAACAGCGTTGACGATATTTGAATTTTGTTGCTAGCAAGTTCCTCCATTTGTGGAACAAGACAGATGGCGAATGCTTACCAAGCTCTCGTACTGCCATATGAAGGATGTATATTGACCTTCATAATACTCAAAATCTAGAAATGTGATTTATTTCCGAATGATACGAATATGTGTCTTCTCCAAGACTCGAGGACCAAAACATCAAACTATAATCCTCCTGGTATCCTTTACTTGGCCATAGCCTCTCCTGTTTATTCAATAAGTCGGCCCTTTGAAGCCTGAACGAGGGGACTATCATATCTCCCCGGGATATTATATTCGCTTATGATAAAATAATGTCTCACCCTCTAGATGTATTTAACTTAATCATGGCATAGCCATCTGAATTCTACATAGCCTTTTATATAGCCCTCTATGATCAGGGAATATGCATTTATATACAGTGTACAATATTAAATACACAGTTGAACAATGAACACCCAACAAGGCATAAGCCAACAACCTAGAATATATTGTGTTGAGAAAATAGGGAATTTCACTTTTTGGCGGGGTTTTTAGCGGTTACGTCACCGTGACAGGGGGTTTAGATATTCAGATTGAGGGGCGCACATAAATAACATGTCACAGGTGGAATATATATATAATAACGAATTAACAGTAGGATAACTCTATACGTGCCTCTGTTGTGGATATAGAGTCTGAACAAGTAGTAGGATAACACTATATAAGCCTCTATTATGGTATAACCTGGCAATATGAGCTGGCATCACTGACATCCCAAGTATGCTGTTGCCCAGAAATTAGGAACTCGGTCTAGGGGCTCTACTTATAAATCAAGCCTTTCAACAGTGATAAAGGAGAACTATATGCACGACAAATCATGATGTTCAATGCGCTGTGGTGTCGGAGAGTGCTGCTGTCACTTAGTGGTGTGATCTTGCTGCTTGCCATTCTGTGTGAGGGTACAGTCAACAGGCGTGAACGTGACCAGGTCTTGGAGGCCATTGCGCGCGATACAGAAACATTAAGGATACATAAGGCGAAAGTGTGTTTTCATTGTACATAGTATACGATTATCGAAAATTTTCTTATTGTACCATCGTATATAAGAACTCTAGCGGGATTTCGTGTACCTGAACATCGAAAAAATGACCATGTTCCCTCATCCCATGTCTGTGCAAGTCTGGAACATAAATCATCGTACTTATCGCAACGGGAGAGTGTGAAATTACCATTACGTATGCGTAATTATATGGTCTATCCTATTTATACATTACTATATAT